ATCCAAACCTCCTTCACCTGCCCAATCTAAGATAGTGTCTCCTGTCTACATCACTGTTTCTTAAAGGCACTCATTTTCTCTCTATTTCTAGTCTATGCACTCATCATGTTCATCATATTCTCTTTTATGATTCAGGCTTTAGTCAAAGAAAGAAAGATCCAAAAAGGGAATTATCTTTCTGACAACTTATGCTTTCAGCTTTTTGGCACAAACTTTTTCTGAGGAAAAGGCTTACAAAAGAACTCGGGCAATTGCAAGGAACAGGGGAAAGGAGGATGCAAAACAAAAACACAAACATTTTAATAAATTCTCTATCTGCTCAAGTTTATAAACTGTCATTTTCACAATGTTTATATCCTGACTTTGTATTTTCTCACCAACCTATGAATTCCTGAAAAATGTATGTTAAAATGTGACATTATGCTTGCTGATTTAACAGTCTTTTTTTATATATATATTTTATTGATATTATATGTTCCTATGTTGACATTTCCATTGCATGAATGTTTATGACCCTGAATTAATGGGAGATTGAAACTTTTATTACTATATAATCACTTTTCCTCATTTAATATTTTAGCATTAAAATTATTTTCCTAACTAAATTTTACTTCTTCCATCTTATTATTTGTTAGCATTCATCTATTAAATATTTTCCAGTACAATTTTTTTTCTCTCAGGCATGTTCTATTAAATAGCATATGTATTCAAGATATTATAATTTTCAGGAGTCTACCCTGACTCTTGACTATATCTATTTTCTGTGTTCTGACTGCTTATCATTCAAATCTCTCTGGACCATACCTCCTAAAATTTCTTAAAATGTTATTGTTTTTTAATGGTACCCTGCCTTGTTTCCAGTCCCCTTATAGGTTTATTCTAGAAAAATAGAAAGCCAAGCAGGTATAAATATATCTCTATACTTGATGGATATGCAGAGACGCAGATATAGTTTCTGTCATTTCAAAATGATTTGGATGAAAAAGGAAGAATATGCATATGTTTAGCATGCCCTCTTTAAATATGATGAACTTAGGTTCACAGAGAGTAAGTGATTTGTCCAAACTCAAAGAATAAATTAATAAGCAGAAAGAAAACTAAAGCACCGAGCTCTTAATTTCTATTCAAGAGCCCTTTTCACTAAAGTGTAACTTCAATATACACATTTTTAAAATTTATAGCACATAAAAAATTAACTAAAATCATAATGGTTTCAAGAAAGCACTTCTAAAAGACTTTTATAAATATTGCTTAGAATTGAAATGTAGCAATTGTTATAGACGCTCTCCACTTATTAAACTGGAAATAGCTCCCTCTTTAATAAAACCGGTGCATTAGAAAGTCAATGTATACCCTACTGATGTGCTCATTAGAAGTGGAGACTGGGTTACAAAGATCAATCAACAGCTATCCCATGCAGGATTTCAAGGGGACTTTATTGGACCTGCCCTTACATACCAATTTATAGGTGTTCTATCTCTAAATCATCCACAGTGTTCAGATCTTTATTTCTTCCTGAATTAGCTAAACTTTCCCCAGCATTTCATATCACTTTTAATCAAAAATTTCTCTTCTGTTTATCTCTAACCTGTTTATTGACCCTCTGTTTATAGGCAGGACTCAGATATGACAGAAAATGAAAACCGTAGGAGGCTGCAAACTTGGATCATTTTTATTGAAGCTCTCAGAAGATTAACCACATGACCCTGTGATTTATAATAGCAGTTATAAGCCAAGGAGTTTCACACAATTGGATAGATTTCACAAATATTCTCCACATCAAAACTCACAAAGGCTGCCTTTTTCTACTAATCATTTTTACTAGCATTGTTATTGTTAATGGACAAATAAAAGAAAAATTACACTGAGATTAACATGCCAGATTTTAACTCTAAATTTTTTATGTCCCAAAGAATAAATTCACATTATAAAAATAGATCCAGCTTCAAATTAGAAACAGGGTGTACAGTGAATAAATAAATAAGCAGAATAATTCTCCAAAGGAGGATCTAAAATGAGAGTACAATTAAAATGACCTTGTAAGATTGGAAAATGTCCTGTAAAATGGTGCATTTTAGAAGGAATGAAGTGCCAAGAGTAATTTAGAATTCCAAATATAAGATATAATATTATGAGTCAGTCCCCTTCCCATATACCATTGATTTCAGATATATATATATATATATATATATATATATATATATATATATATATA